CGTAAGGTTTTCTTTTTATACCAACATGAAACTAAAAACTATACCTATCAAAGCTTAAATAATAACAGAGTTTTGTAGGCAAACACCAAAACAAGTGTTTGAATAATTTTGATTTTCGCCTCCTAAGTTTCAAACTTTAAGCTCTTAGCATCACCTAGACGGACTAAACAGATGTATAACACTGTTTAATGATTTATCTCTGCTGTGTTTATTTTTTGTATTGAAGGCTGATGTTCACTTATTTTACAATGTAGAGACACGTTTTCAATGTCAAATCTGGAGACACGTTGTCAATGTCAAATCTGGAGACACGTTGTCAATGTCAATAATTTTTTACCTTACAAATTCTTGTCATTCCAAACACTATTTCTGGAATATTATTCTCTTGGTATCGATTTCAAGTGTGTGGTGCTTGCAGACAAGACAGTTTAATGTATTGTTTCATGATTCGAATATAGAACTTGAGTAAACTCTTGGCAGTAGCAGGAAAAACATTTACCATTGTCAGATATTGGAGTATGACACAGCACAAGTTATCTGAGAATTCTGTTTTGATTCCGGTAGGTACTTATACGGTAAATACTTTAGATCAGGCGCTGTTTAGACATCTCCGATTACGACGCTTAACGATTTAAAAAAAGTGATATTTAAAAATGAGATATAATATTCGCCAATACGACTTTACTAATTTACGCTTCATATTTAACAAGTCTTACTGTTCAGTATCACTGATCACTTTAAACTGTCTTCTTTCAGAAATTCTTGTGTTCACTAAAGCCTACCGATGACTGGCAGCCGTCTTCCAAACGGAAGGTACATCATTCAGAGGACACGTTGTTAGAACGGAAATGCTACCAGACAGGTGATTGAAACACCCAGGGAACCTTCTTATAAACACTTCTCCTTAACATCGGCTACCGAACAGGAGTTGTATATAGAGGGGGTAAACAGGATTACTGACAAATTGATTCTTTATAGGACGATGTGAATGGACAGAGGACCACGTGTTTCTGGACAATGTATATTTGTAACTATAAATAGTTTCTCTTTCAGATACATTTGTATTGATATCATTTAAACATAATTTTACACGATTAACTCGAAATGTTCATACCCTAGTTTATGGCTTCTACATTATTCAAAATGCTTTATTTTGTGTGGGTTTTTTTTAAGATTCTATGAGCTATATACTGCGATGTACAAAACGTACGTAAAACCCCAAAACATGATAAAGACCACGTATACCACAAGGAGGAAATCATTACCTAGATATTCTCAACGCTGGGCTTTATTTTAGTTATTTTGCATCCAACACCTTTTTCATTGTGAAATATACCTTAATTGGCATAATTTAATTTGATGGCATTCTTTAAAACAAAGGAGAAGAATGTTGCTAAATGTCTTTAGAAGATATATTTGGAATTAAATATCTTATTTTTTGCGTCATTTATGTGTAAGTCATTAATTTCTTAGTTTAACATTAGTTTTCTTCATTATCCTGACTTCCACACTAAAAACGGCCAATCAGAAAACATTAGTTTCATATATACAAAAATATATAATATGGCTTGTCTGTAAGACTTTGAGTAACATCCCTTGATCAAGTGATAAACTGAACACGTAACAAAATTCTGTAAATGTTAGTTTCAAAAACAATACAGAAGTTTGTGCACACTGTAGGCTGCCAGGGACTCCTTGAGACCATCTCGTTTTGTCCAACACACGGATCCTAGTTAGATGATAATGCAGGACAGAAGCAGACATAATGTATCTCTCTTCGTACATGGAACAAAAGCCTGTAACAAAATGGTTATATAAGGCATGTCAGTTATAAGTGTAATTGTTATCGTTGTTAAAACTACATTATCTCATGGACGACGTGGCCAAAATATAATATCTGTAAACAGTCTCGATTGTATTCACAAGATTGTAGATCCATCCTAGGTCACAAGACAATGATATGACATCATTTTATGCTTCATTGATCTACGTTACGTCAACGCTTTGCACGTCGCCTTAGATAACACCCAATACAATTATACGTTAATCATTCAGACGATTAGGATTTTCAGGAAGCTCTTTCGGTAAAAACGGATGTTATTCTATTTATCTGTCTCCCAAATTACATTCATGTTGACATAAAGCTGGTGATGTTCTGTAGTTGACTACTTCCCCTTTCACAACTCCAGAATGATCGCTGAAAACTATCATGAAACAATGGCCTATCATTTCAAACGAGCATAAAACAGATTCTTATTTTTAGAAATATTTTTGCCTCGTTTCGGAATCTTAAACCACGATAATAAACATTGTGTTGATATAAATATTTACCACTTTTTGTTCGGTACGGAGATAAGTTAACACAGGAACGCAGAAGGGAATTATCATAATGTTGTTTTTTCTGTAGGACAGTATGTATACAACACCCAGGTCGTGACTCCACCTGGCAGTTTTACATGTACTTGTCTCCAACTTCTGTGTTCCCTTAATTAACAACTGTTGTTCGCCCGTGTAATGTCTATAATATATGTATCTGTATAAGTCGCCGAGGATATATCTTCGATATAGGTTTTTCTGTTTTGAACATTATCACGCGTCGCATTTCCACACTATAGACAGTTAAATACAGCTCATGACACCGAGTCTCCTGTGGATGTTCTCAGTACAAACCAGTCATTGTCCACTGTGTAGCAACATATACGTCGTCCTATTTATTTACAAATATGGGCAACGGGGATAAACAAATTTCTTGTTTCTTTCCCAACGCGAACTAGATAGATCTGGTCGAGGGAAACCAGAAACTTGCTACAGGCCTATATAACCAGATAGTTTTAAACGGAAAATATTTCTAATTCAATAGACTAAGCTGGAAGTTTAACAAGACAGAAGAATATTGTTTGTTGTATTAAATATAATGATAATAATTATTGTTACATTCTTTACGATCCCTGTACACATAAAAGGTCATCAGAGCCACCAACCGGTGTATCGTTAAGATAATTATTTTCTCGAGTAGACAGAAGGTCAATGCAGTCCAATAAAAATGTTTAACGGTGAACGGCTCATCGCATTTAATACACCGAGGTTTATCTTCGCCTTTCAACATCTATGAATATGTAAGGTATGTATGGCCATCCTTAGATGGACAAGGACAACTTCGTCTCGGTGGTTGTCTCTATAGCATGGAGACCATTCACCGATGATATGATAAGTTTAACGGAATGCAATTTATTATCCACTCTTCCTGCCACTGAGCTGTTAAAAATTCTTTAATAAATGGATTTAAAATTGGTGAAATGAAGTTTAAAAATGAAAGGTGGTAGCGATAAAGCTTCCTTTGCGGCACGATCTGCTTTTTCAAAGCCTGGTATTCACATGTGCCCAGGAACCCAGCAAAAAGCAATACGAAAGTTAGAAGCAAGTTCATGAAATATTATTAATATATTTCGAATGAAAATAATGTCGATATTTCTATTTCTAAGACTTTGTAGCACCGAAAAAAGAGTCTGAATAGATAACAGCTCTCAATAATTTGTTGGAATATGTTCAAGGGCGAGGCAGATAGCTCGCGTTTCCACTGAGAAAATAGAGGCGTTGTTGGGTAGCCGGCATCCATGGGCTTCGTCTTATGAAACCATGGCTGCGGAAACCTTATCATTGGATTTTGAACTATCGATGTGAAAATGTAGACATGTTTTATTATTTCATATTGTGTTGTGTAAAAGAGCGAAAATCCCAATATCAAATGGTGGAATGGTCTTTGATTTGTTTTGAAACAATGTTTCATATTTTGGACCAAACACCAGAAGAAAAGCCTCACACACGAAGGTGTCTTATCTAACCAAATGATCGTTGGTACTTCGCTTAGATCTAAAACCGCTTTGTAGGGGTGGTATTATACGATTGGAGTCCAGATACCAAATTAATCTTGAATTTATCATCCGCTCTAGAGTTTTACAAACCCAACTCGTGAGTGACATTGGGCGGTAGCTGTAGGGATCTGTCGTATCTATACCTTATTTGGGGATAGGAAATCCAATTGCCATTTTCCATGACTTTGGGACATTATCCGATCTAAAAATATAATTAAAATTATCAAGAAGTATTATCTAATGATGACTCTAGTAAATGTTTTAGGAACTAATAGTGAATATCATCAGGTCCTGTTGCAGAGTCATGGTTTTCAATGTTCTAACATTGAAAAGGTTCATTGTAAGTTACATTGTTTTCGAAAGAGAATTTCAACTTAGTTTTTTCTCAAGTGGTCTTATTTTTATATTTATTTATTTTTTTTTGAAAAATAAACAGCAAGAAAGTAACACGTCAAGCATTAAGTTCCTTAGACCACTGCGTTCATAGTTCAATGAAGAATGAAAAACAAGAAATTCTATCATATCAACCAGGAAATCGATACGACCAATGGGACAAAATAGTCAATGATCGGGACAAAAGAATTAACAGTGAAGCGATGGGTGAGTCCCGAGAAAAGCGATGGGTGAGTCCCGAGTAAAGCGATGGGTGAGTCCCGAGTAAAGCGGTGGCTGAGTCCCGAGAAAAGCGGTGGCTGAGTCCCAAGTAAAGCGATGGGTGAGTCCCGAGTAAAGCGGTGGCTGAGTCCCGAGAAAAGCGATGAGTGAGTCCCGAGTAAAGCGATGGGTGAGTCCCGAGTAAAGCGGTGGGTGAGTCCCGAGTAAAGCGGTAAATGTGTGGTTACAATCTTTATCACTGGAGACGATACAAATTATTCATAATATATGAATGCCTATTTTTCGAAATTTGTTATGAGCTGTATATTATCGGCGCTATATTTAGACGGGTTTTCCGAACAAAGGCATTGATGATGGATTATGAGTACGGAGATAACATTTATACATAATTTGGTGGTGGTGGTGGTGGGGGGGGTTAACAGCCTATCCATTCCAGTTTAAAAAAAAAACACATTTTTCCCATGATCCCTTTTTCACGATATTGTTTACTGTCATTAGCATTACCTATGACGGTCACTTTCGCCCTCTTATACACGTGTGCTCATCTGGCCAAACGCACGTGGAGTGCTTGTTGCTATATTCGAGACCACTTGGGCACTTAAAATGAAACGTCCGTCCTGTGTAACACACGTAGAAGTGATGACAACTTTCTGGATCCTCGTAAAACCCGTACGGACGGAACCAGCACACGAATCCTGAAAACCAACAGGACGAGTTAATGTTCCTTTCGACAAACATCCAAAGGGAAATCACAACAGTCAGAGAGAGGGACGCCCTATCTCATAAACATAAGGAACAAATTGATTTGTGTTAAATGAATTAGAAAGAGACAATGGAGATATGTCTATGGGCTCAGCATACACCTACCTCTGTTGCCGAACACGAGTTCAGGGTTGAGTGTGACAGGTGCTTGTGTAACAGGTGACTGCGTGATTGGGCGATACGTGACCACGGGTCGAGGCGTGACTTCTGGCGTAGTGGTTACGGGCGCCGGAGTAGTGGTGGTTGTGGTTGTAAGGTAGAAGCCTGGATCTGGGATGGGCGAGGGAATGGTAGGCAATGGTGTGGTAGTTCTGCCTTGCTGTGCGTCGACGAGAGTCTCCGATACTGCGCTGGTCAGAGGGTAGCGTTTGACAGTACTCTTGCAAATATGGTTGAAATCATCCAGAGACATCGACCAAACCATGGAACCTCCGAATCCTTCTCGGGCTATATAACGTGCCTGTCAAAGATGAAATGTGTTTGACAAAATATCTTCAATTGTTAATGCATTTTTAAATTATCACATGTAACGTTAGAGAAATAGATAAACACATACCTTGTTTGCAACGCTCTCTGCGTCATCATATCCTATCCAAACCTTGCCAACGACAAAATATGGCACTTCCTGCTCGTGGTCTCTGAATACTCTACCGATCCCGAGATCTTGTTGTAGGCAAATCTACACGAATAAGGAAAAGCAGGTGGACAGAGGTGTTATAGATATGATAAATCACATTATTCCTAGCGTAACGGTAATTTACCTATACCAACTATATCATAACCCAGTTAACACGCTTTGGTCATCGACCGCCAATTCAGTGCCAAAAAATACTATCACAAAGTTGGCCATGCTTACATCAATGATAATGCTAAAACTGACCTCGTAGTACGACTGGAATCCAACCTCACGAGTGTACACGCCCTTTGGTCCAGGCTTGGATACAGCTGCTGACAATTGGTACTGTGTGGCTGGATCGGCCAGTATGTAAGATCGCCCGTATGTAGAGATACCGATGTTGAGCTTGTCACGGGGAGCTCCAGAAGTGTTCCAGTACTTAGCCGCCCAATCCTGTAACAAGAGCGAAATAAAGTGCACTTCCCAGACATTTTGAACGCTAGGTGGATTTATTGAAGGGTTCAATGGACTTTTTTGTGTTATTAGCAGTGCTTGATCAAGTGGATTGTAGAGTTGTAACACTGATGTAATGCTATGTCTACGAGATACCGTGTCCTGTAAAACTTACTTTTGTTGACAGCGTCTACAAAGTCTGGCTAATTGCATGCGACCTGCCGATATCTCGTTTGATGTAGCCCTTACATTACACTCTCAGACAACAGACGACCTGCCGAGATCTCGTTTGATATAGCCCCTTATATTACCCTCTCAGACAACAGACGACCTGCCGAGATCTCGTTTGATGCAGCCCTTATATTACGCTCTCAGACAACAGACGACCTGCCGAGATCTCGTTTGATGTAGCCCTTATATTACCCTCTCAGACAACAGACGACCTGCCGAGATCTCGTTTGATGTAGCCCTTACAATACACTCTCAGACAACAGACGACCTGCCGAGATCTCGTTTGATGTAGCCCCTATATTACCTTCTCAGGCAACAGACGACCTGCCGAGATCTCGTTTGATATAGCCCTTACAATACACTCTCAGACAACAGACGACCTGCCGAGATCTCGTTTGATGTAGCCCTTACATTACACTCTCAGACAACAGACGACCTGCCGAGATCTCGTTTGATGTAGCCCTTACATTACACTCTCAGACAACAGAAGACCTGCCGAGATCTCGTTTGATGTAGAACTTACATCACACTCTCAGTCAACAGACGACCCGCCGAGATCTCGTTTGATGTAGCCCTTACATTACTCTCTCAGACAACAGACGACCTGCCCAGATCTCGTTTGATGTAGCCCTTACATTACACTCTCAGACAACAGAAGACCTGCCGAGAGCTCGTTTGATGTAGAACTTAAATTACACTCTCAGACAACAGACGACCTGCCGAGATCTCGTTTGATGTAGCCCTTACATTACACTCTCAGACAACAGAAGACCTGCCGAGATCTCGTTTGATGTATCCCTTACATCACACTCTCAGACAACAGACGACCTGCCGAGATCTCGTTTGATGTAGCCCTTACATCACACTCTCAGACAACAGACGACCTGCCGAGATCTCGTTTGATGTAGCCCTTACACTACACTCTCAGACAACAGACGACCTGCCGAGATCTCGTTTGATGTAGCCCTTACATTACACTCTCAGACAACAGAAGACCTGCCGAGATCTCGTTTGATGTAGAACTTACATCACACTCTCAGTCAACAGACGACCCGCCGAGATCTCGTTTGATGTAGCCCTTACACTACACTCTCAGACAACAGACGACCTGCCGAGATCTCGTTTGATGTAGAACTTACATCACACTCTCAGACAACAGACGACCCGCCGAGATCTCGTTTGATGTAGCCCTTACATTACACTCTCAGACAACAGACGACCTGCCGAGATCTCGTTTGATGTAGAACTTATATTACCCTCTCAGACAACAGACGACCTGCCGAGATCTCGTTTGATGTAGCCCTTACAATACACTCTCAGATTCAACAGACGTTGACCATCGCCGAGATCTCGTTTGATGTAGCCCTTACACTACACTCTCAGACAACAGACGACCTGCCGAGATCTCGTTTGATGTAGAACTTACATCACACTCTCAGACAACAGACGACCTGCCGAGATCTCGTTTGATGTAGAACTTACAGATCTGTCGATATTATACCTACCGTATTCATCTTACGTTGATATTCATTTTCATCGCGGCGAGGATACAATGGACTGTTGTGTCCAGTAGTCCGCTCCCACGCGCCATGAAAGTCGTATGTCATAATGTTGATGAAACTAAGATGTCTGAAAAACATGAAACAAATGTAATATTGATTAACAGCGAAATAAAAGTTCTGATAACACAACAAGTAGAAGATTAGAGTGTGACGTTTCTATGACTACACGATCACCTTCATCTTATAACACAACCAGTAGAAGATTAGAGTGTGACGATGACTACACTGTCACCTTCATCTTATAACACAACCAGTAGAAGATTATAGTGTGACGATGACTACACGGTCACCTTCATCTTATAACACAACCAGTAGAAGATTAGAGTGTGACGTTTCTATGACTACACGATCACCTTCATCTTATAACACAAACAGTAGAAGATTAGAGTGTGACGATGACTACACTGTCACCTTCATCTTATAACACAACCAGTAGAAGATTATAGTGTGACGATGACTACACGGTCACCTTCATCTTATAACACAACCAGTAGAAGATTAGAGTGTGACGATGACTACATGATCACCTTCATCTTATAACACAAATAGTAGAAGATTAGAGTGTGACGTTGACTACACGGTCACCTTCATCTTATAACACTACCAGCAGAAGATTAGAGTGTGACGATGACTACAAGGTCACCTTCATCTTATAACACAACCAGTAGAAGATAAGAGTGTGACGATGGCTACACGGTCACCTTCATCAGACAAATGACCATTGTGGAGAGTACTAACACTGACGCACGTAGTGTACGAGATCTACACGGTCTCCTTCATCAGACAAATGACCAGTGTGGAGCGTACTTACACTGACGTAGGTAGTGTACGAGATCTACACGGTCACCTTCATCAGACAAATGCCCCGTGTGGAGCGTACTTACACTGACGTACGTAGTGTACGAGATCTACACGGTCTCCTTCATCAGACAAATGACCCGTGTGGAGCGTACTAACACTGACGTAAGGAGTGCACGAGATCTACACGGTCACCTTCATCAGACAAATGACCCGTGTGGAGCGTACTTACACTGACGTACGTAGTGTTCGAGATCTACACGGTCTCCTTCATCAGACAAATGACCAGTGTGGAGCGTACTAACACTGACGTACGTAGTGTACGAGATCTACACGTCACCTTCATCAGACAAATGACCAGTGTGGAGCGTACTAACACTGACGTACGTAGTGTACGAGATCTACACGTCACCTTCATCAGACAAATGACCCGTGTGGAGCGTACTTACACTGACGTACGTAGTGTGCGAGATCTACACGTCACCTTCATTAGAGTTTGAATCGCATATGAAAAAAATGTTTGCTGAAATCGATATATCGGGTGAATTAGACCAACATTTGTTTTGGCAACTTATTAAAAGCAAAAACAAAGCACCGAAGGTTAAACAAACTTAATTGAGATATGATGAGAAAACGTTAAGAGATACGGTTGATATTTTGAAAGATTAGTCTCTGCATTTCCAGAATATCTTTAAAAACCATGACGTCGAAGAATTTGACAGTGGTTTCTACAAGGAAATCAAAGACAGAATCAAAATGATAAAGTCGAATATTTGTTTTGATAGAGACACGTTTTTATGTGATTCTTTTTCTTGCCAAGAAATCAACCATGTAGGTAAAAAGTTAAAAACAAATAAGGCCGATGGGCATGAGGGTCTCGTATATGAACATGTAATATATGCAGGGCAGCCTCTGATTCATCATATACGGAATTTATTCAGTCTTGTTGTTAAACACGAATATATCCCTAAAGACTGGAAATATGGCATTATAGTTGCTTTACACAAGGGTCATGAGAAGCCTAAAGAAGACCCCAATAGTTATAAGGGAATAACACTTTTGCCTATATTTTTTTTTTAATTTTTGAAATGGCTATTGCAAACAGAATTACTGACATAATTGATTCTGACATATTTCCAAACTAACAACAGTCAGCATATCAGAAAAATCTATGCAGTCTCTGTACAGCGTTTAATGTGCAAGAATGCATTTATTATAATACGGAATATGGTTCAGATGTATATGTGTCATTTCTGGATAGCACAAAGGCCTTCGATACTGTTTGGCACGACGGTTTATTAGTTAAGTTGTATGACCTTGGTCTAACGGGGAAAGTATGGAATATACTTAGATATATGTATACAGATGTACAGAGTTCGGTGGTATTTAATGGCGTATTTTCTACACCGCTGAAAATGGAGAGAGGAATTTTACAAGGTGGGGCCCTATCTGCCAAAATGTACTTAGTTTTTATTAATGAACTATTAAATGAGGTTGAAAATTCTTGTTGGGGGGGGCAAGAATAACTGACATACCTGTCAATATTCCAACCCAAGCTGACGATATTTGTTTAGTAAGTTCCAATATTGTTAGTCTACAAAAAATGTTAAACATCTGCGAATCCTATAGTCGAAAATGGAGGTTTATGTTTTCAGCATCAAAGAGTAAAATTGTTGTTTTTTTCAAATAAAAGAATTGTAGATATAAATCAAAATTTCTATCTCTACAACAGTGTATTACCAGTTGTCGCAGACATTATACACGTTGGTATTCTAGTAAACTGTAAGCATAATTCCATGGAAAGAACAAAATCTGCTTGCAATAAATTAAAAAGTGGTACCATGGCCCTTCTACGCTCAGGCGACCATCAGTGTGCTCTAAACACATTAACAGTTTCAAAATTATGAAATTGAAAGTTTATCCTTCTGCACTTTATGGATGCGAACTGTGGTTGCTTTCGACTACTGAGTTACTGATGTTAGAAAGGGCCCAGCGTTTTATTGTAAAGTCAATCCAAGGTCTAGATAATAGCACAAGAACTGACATGTGTACCCCTCTACTTGGGTGGACGTCATTAGAAGCATATATAGATACTAAAAAACTTTTGTTTCTCGGTAGAATATGTAGAATGAGAAGAAGTAAGTTGACCAGTAAAATTTTTATTGTAAGATGTTTTTTGTATACAATTAATGAATATGTACAAAATGGTTATATACCAGATATTGTCAGAATCCTCAAAAAGTATAATTTATTCCAGCATTTCGAACTTTTGCTGGATGACGGTACTTTTCCAAACAAAACACATTGGACGAAACTGACTTATAATTCTGTAAAAGACTATGAAACAGATGCATGGTTACGAAGAATGTCTAACAATGCAGATTTTAACAAGATTTAAACTACTGCACGATTGTTTAAAACCACTGTTTGTGGAAACTAGCTCTGTATCACCCTAGTTCTCTCGATGATATCCGTTATGTAATCAAACTTATTGTTTCCATACGAAACTCCAATACACAATTTTTGTGTCATTTTTGTGGATATTTTTATACAGATATTGTGAATCATGCAATTCTACATTGTTCATTAACAGAAATTGTACGTGACGATTTATGGTGCGCAATTGTGTCTATTTCGAGTATTGAATTTATTTCATACTTACAATCGTTGCCAGAGTATATATTGCTTCACATTTTACTAGGAGGTCATTTGGCTTATCAGTTAGACAAACATAATTTTGAACAATTTAGACTGAAGTCAGCATGTTCTATAAAAAGGTTGCTTGAACTATATGGCTATGTATAGTGCGCCAGGAGGCTTTCTGTAATATATACACTTAAAACCTATTATTGTGACATATATACTTAGTATGTAATTATTTCATAACATTATAAATTGCAAGGTGATAACTCTTCACCGAGTATGAATTACATAAAACTAACATATTGTATGTATAGTCATAATTTGTAAATTCTACATTAATTTCCACCTTAATTGTATGCTTTTCAAGTTGTAATTTGTATGTAATGCTGTTCATCTTTGGAGGAAATAAAGACAATAATAATCACTGACGTACATACTGTACGAGATCTACACGGTCACCTTCATCAGGCAAATGACCAGTGTGGAGCGTACTAGCACTGACGTACGTAGTGTACGAGATCTACACGGTCACCTTCATCAGACAAATGACCAGTGTGGAGCGTACTAGTACTGACGTACGTAGTGTACGAAATCTATACGTCTCCTTCATCAGACAAATGACCAGTGTGGAGCGTACTAGCACTGACGTACGTAGTGTCCGAGATCTACACGGTCCCTCCATCAGACAAATGACTAGTGTGGAGCGTACTAGCACTGACGTACGTAGTGTACGAAATCTACACGTCACCTTCATCAGACAAATGACCAGTGTGGAGCGTACAAACACTGACATACGTAGTGTACGAGATCTACACGGTCTCCTTCATCAGACAAATGACCAGTGTGGAACGTACAAACACTGACATGCGTAGTGTACGAGATCTACACGGTCCCTCCATCAGACAAATGACTAGTGTGGAGCGTACTAGCACTGACGTACGTAGTGTACGAAATCTACACGTCACCTTCATCAGACAAATGACCAGTGTGGAGCGTACAAACACTGACATACGTAGTGTACGAGATCTACACGGTCTCCTTCATCAGACAAATGACCAGTGTGGAACGTACAAACACTGACATGCGTAGTGTACGAGATCTACACGGTCTCCTTCATCAGACAAATGACCAGTGTGGAGCGTACAAACACCGACATACGTAGTGTACGATATCTACACGGTCGCCTTCATCAGACAAATGACCAGTGTGAAGCGTACTAGCGTTGACGTAAGTTGTGTACGAGATCTACACGGTCACCTTCATCAGACAAATGACTAGTGTGGAGTGTACTAGCGTTGACGTAAGTTGTTTACGAGATCTACACGGTCGCTTTCATCAGACAAATGACCAGTGTGGAGCGTACTAGCACTGACGTAAGTTGTGTACGAGATCTACACGGTCGCCTTCATCAGACAAATGACCAGTGTGGAGTGTACTAGCACTGACGTAAGTAGTGTACGAGATCTACACGGTCACCTACATCAGACAAATGACCAGTGTGGAGTGTACTAACACTGACGTAAGGAGTGCACGAGATCTACACGGTCACCTTCATCAGACAAATGACCCTTTTGGAGCGTACTAGAACTGACGTACGTAGTGTACGAGATCTACACGGTCACCTTCATTAGACAAATGACCCTTTTGGAGCGTACTAGCACTGACGTACGTAGTGTGCGAGATCTACACGGTCACCTTCATTAGACAAATGACCCTTTTGGAGCGTACTAGCACTGACGTACGTAGTGTACGAGATCTACACGGTCACCTTCATTAGACAAATGACCCTTTTGGAGCGTACTAGCACTGACGTACGTAGTGTGCGAGATCTACACTGTAACCTTCATCAGACAAATGACCAGTGTGGAGCGTACTAACACTGACGTACATAGTGTACGAGATCTACACTGTCACCTCCATCAGACAAATGACTAGTGTGGTGCGTACTAACACTGACGTAAGTTGTGTACGAGATGGTACAGAATCAACCAACGTTTTCGGCTATACTATTATCTAATGTACACTAAAGTCGAAAATTGTGTGACGAGATGGTAAACAGATTATAGACAAAAATATACCAGATGGTTATAATTTACTATAGTCAATTCGGCTAGCTTTGTTTAACACTTTATTTCATTAGAAGTAGTCGAAAGGATGACAGAAAGATCCGAGCAGCGGATTCTGGACAGAGTCATGCCGAGGACAGACACTTGACATCATGACGTCACAGTTATATTCACTATTGTGACTGGGCATTCTGACGTACATTGTTATGAACATTCTCGGTTGAATTGCATTTGCACTTCAAGGAAACACATGGGACATTATGACGTGACGTGACTTTGACTGGTGGGACAGATTCTAGACGTGTGACGTCAGCGATAGAATTCGGTCATTGTCATTGGGTAAAGAATCTAACTATCGTGACGTCAGAGACTGAAACAAATCCCTGTAACTCACTCAGCCAGAGCTGTGACATTGTAGCTGACGTCAATGACATTGGGACTTGCGGAGACGGCGGCGGACAACAGCAGACACGGCTTTCCAGACGATACAGACTCCCTCTTAAACGAATCCCGTAACTCCTGTAAGACACATATATACTAATTTTTTAGATAATATATAACAATATGTTTACATCTAACAAGTCCCGTAACTCCTGTAAGACACACATATACTAATATTTTTGATAATATATAACAATATGTTTACATCTAACAAGTCCCGTAACTCCTGTAAGACACATATGAACTAATCTTTTTTTAGATAATATATAACAATATGTTTACAAATAACAAGTCCCGTGACTCCTGTAAAACATATAAGTACTAATCTTTCAGATAATATATAACAATATGTTTACATCTAACAAGTCCCGTAACTCCTGTAAGACACATCTAACAAGTCCCTTAACTCCTGTAAGACACATATATACTAATCTTTAAGATGATATATAACAATATGTTTACATCTAACAAGTCCCGTAACTCCTGTAAGACACATCTAACAAGTCCCTTAACTCCTGTAAGACACATATGTACTAATCTTTTAAATAATATATAACAATGGGATATGTTTACATCTAACAAGTCCCGTAACTCCTGTAAGACACAAGTGTACTAATCCTTTAGATAATATATTATAATGGGATATCTTTACATCTATCAAGTCCCGTAACTCCTGTAAGACACATATATACTAATCTTTAAGATAATATATAACAATATGTTTACATGTAACAAGTACCGTAACTCCTGTAAGACACAAGTGTACTAATCTTTTATATAATTTATAACAATATGTTTACATGTAACATCCTCGAGTTTCGTTTCTGATGCGTGATCTTCTATTGGTGAATATAAACATTTGGCCAGGAGAATGATACCTGTAGAAGTAAGGAAAACCTTTGTTTGTCCTCTGGTTTACCACCCCGTAGTGTAGGATATTCCCAATCAATGTCCAAGCCGTCAAATCCGTGATTCCGGAGAAAGGATATTGCGGACAATGCAAAGACACGACGGCTCATTGGCGTAGTCACCATGTTAGAGAAGCCCTTACTTTCTGCATTCCACCCTCCTACAGCTAGCAATGTTTTCACTCCAGGATTTCGACTTTTCAGGCCGGTAAATAATTGATACCTATCAAAATCACAACATTACTTGCATTTCGTTTCTTTAGACAATGGTACTAAACATCTATTAAAATCAACGCTAATAAAACCAGTCTCTTTTTTCTCTTTCTAAACAAATCGGGAGAAACATAAATCTAAGCAAAATGATTATCTGTAAAAGATTTGAGGTGATCTACGATAAACTGCCATTCATGTTAGCATTACGCCTTTATACTGACAAACATTTTCTTTACGACTTCAAAGTGACATATATTTGAGCTATACTCCTTCATACCGACAAAGGTCTGTGTACATGCCGACCTGGTACTCACATCTCCGGATCGTTTGGTTCAGACGGAGTGATCCTTGTGCCTTCCAGGTTGGCGAAGGCGTAGATAAGATGAGTACAGAGAGTAGGGTCAATATCTGTGGGTGTGAACTGCGCGCGACCCTGACGGTACTGTGACCAGTTGGTATAGTAACATATCCGCCGGAAGTTTCTGTGTTCTATAAACAATAACAATCCCAGTTCAAACGCCTGTGCTCTAAAACACACACAGATAAAAAGTATGTAAAAATACCTTTAACGACGATTTTTGTTGTCAATGGGTGGGAGTGGCTTCGTTTAACATCCAAATGAACTAGAATACTAATTTAATTCAATTTGTTTTTGGTGAGTGCAATGAAAACAGATTATATCTACCAGTGGGTCAAGCCTGAATGCCAGCAAGATTCTCGTGTGAGAAAAAATTGTTATTCTACATTTTGTAAAAAAAAACCAGCGACAATAACCTACTGCATTATTCGTCCGTACGGTGTATGAGACAGATAACCTTACCACAATGTTCGTCCGAGCCGTCGCGACAATCCCTGTCACTATCACATTGCCACTCTTTCGGTATACACTCGCCTGTCCCACACCGGAAGTGGACGCCATTACATGTATTCTGTGGCTGTTGTGTTACTGTCTTTGTCTCTGGAGTCAGAACATAAAACGATTTAAACCAATTTGTGCAATAAACGTGGCTATTATTCATTATGTCAGAACTTCCGATTTTTCGAACAGACAAGATTCGACTTTTCCCCTTCAATCTTCCCTTTCTCTGTAACCTTCCTCCCAGCCTTTATTCCATACCATCCCGGATATACTATGTACATGTATGTACTACAGACCTGGTGTCTCTCTGGTCCTATATCCTCTGTCCTACTCTGATCCTATTATCCCCGGGATATTAACTACAGACCTGGTGTCTCTCTGGTCCTATATCCTCTGTCCTACTCTGATCCTATTACCTACGGGATATTAACTACAGACCTGGTGTCTCTCTGGTCCTATATCCTCTGTCCTACTCTGATCCTATTACCCCCGGGATATTAACTACAGACCTGGTGTCTCTCTGGTCCTATATCCTCTGTCCTACTCTGATCCTATTACCCCCGGGATATTAACTACAGACCTGGTGTCTCTCTGGTCCTATATCCTCTGTCCTACTCTGATCCTATTACCCCCGGGATATTAACTACAGACCTGGTGTCTCTCTGGTCCTATATCCTCTGTCCTACTCTGATCCTATTACCCCCAGGTTACTAACTACAGACCTGGTGTCTCTCTAGTCCTATAACTTCTGTCCTACCCTGATACTCTGATCCCCGGGTTACTAACTACAGACCTGGTGTCTCTCTGGTCCTATATCCTCTGTCCTATTCTAATCCCTTTACCCCCGGGATACTAATACAGACCTGGTGTCTCTCTGGTCCTATATCCTCTGTCCTATTCTAATCCCTTTACCCGCGGGATACTAATACAGACCTGGTTTCTCTCTGGTCCTATATCCTCTGTCCTATTCTAATCCCTTTACCCCCGGGATACTAACTACAGACCTTGTGTCTCTCTGGTCCTATATCCTCTGTCCTATTCTAATCCCTTTACCCCCGGGTTACTAACTACAGACGTGGTGTCTCTCTGGTCCTATATCCTCTGTCCTATTCTAATCACTTTACCCCCGGGCTACTAACTACAGACCTGGTGTCTCTCTGGTCCTATATCCTCTGTCCTATTCTAATCCCTTTACCCCCGGGAAACTAATACAGACCTGGTGTCTCTCTGGTCCTATATCATCTGTCCTATTCTAATCCCTTTACCCTCGGGATACTAATACAGACCTGGTGTCTCTCTAGCCCTATATCCACTTTTCTATTCTGATCTCCTTACCTCGGGATACTAACTACAGACCTGGTGTCTCTCTGGTCCTTTATCATCTGTCCTATTCTAATCCCTTTACCCCCGGGTAACTAACTACAGACCTGGTGTCTCTCTAGCCCTATATCCACTTTTCTATTCTGATCTCCTTACCTCGGGATACTAATACAGACCTGGTGTCTCTCTGGTCCTATATCCTCTGTCCTATTCTAATCCCTTTACCCCCGGGATACTAATACAGACCTGGTATCTCTCTGGTCCTATATCATCTGTCCTATTCTAATCCCTTTACCTCCGGGATACTTATACAGACCTGGTGTCTCTCTGGTCCTATACCATCTGTCCTATTCCAATCCATTTACCCCCGAGTTACTAACTACAGACCTGGTGTCTCCCTAGCCCTATATCCACTTTTCTATTCTGATCTCCTTACCTCGGGATACTAACTACAGACCTGGTTTCTCTCTGGTCCTATATCCTCTGTCCTATTCTAATCCCTTTACCCGGGTTACTAACTACAGACCTGGTGTCTCTCTAGCCCTATATCCACTTTTCTATTCTGATCTCCTTACCTCGGGATACTAACTACAGACCTGGTGTCTCCCTAGCCCTATATCCACTTTTCTATTCTGATCTCCTTACCTCGGGATACTAACTACAGACCTGGTTTCTCTCTGGTCCTATATCCTCTGTCCTATTCTAATCCCTTAACCCGGGTTACTAACTACAGACCTGGTGTCTCTCTAGCCCTATATCCACTTTTCTATTCTGATCTCCTTACCTCGGGATACAAACTACAGACCTGGTTTCTCTCTGGTCCTATATCCTCTGTCCTATTCTAATCCCTTTACCCGGGTTACTAACTACAGACCTGGTGTCTCTCTAGCCCTATATCCACTTTTCTATTCTGATCTCCTTACCTCGGGATACTAACTACAGACCTGCTGTTTCTCTAATCATATATCCTCTGTCGTACCCTGATCCCCTTATCCCCGGGATAATGACTACAGATCTGGTCTGTCTCTAACAGGTCTCTATAAGTAGCTAAGCACATGTCGTACACGGATCCCCTTACCCCCAGGGTAATGTTGTACCCTCGGAATACTTACCACATAACTCTGGAGCCTCATCCTGTCCGTTCGGACAGTCTTCCGCCCCGTCACACACCCAGTTATCAAGGAGACACAATCCACTGCTACACTGAAAGTCCGTCCCTTCACAGCTCTGGCTATCTACATTAGACGAAGGGAGACAACTCTTGCAATATTAGCAGTTCGGAAATGACCGGGTCGTAACGACGTATTTATGAGAGGAAGACAGGAACTACTCAAATACATCACGTACTTACACACTTTAGCGGAGAAAATCAGAAGTGAACTGCACAAACAAATAAAACTCCAAATCTGGAAAGAAAAGAATCAGACAAGTTTACAAAAAGGAAAAACCAATAAAAAATAACAAAATAAAAAATAAAATAGTGTGGTAGTTGTTTATTTCAATAACTGACAATAAACATGTCTATATAAAGATTGTAGTGTTTGTTATAACCAAGATAATCGTATTGCCGGTTAACCTTATCTTAACGCGTTTTTCTTGTTTCGTAACAAATCAGAACCATTCATTCTCTATTTCTTTTTATTACGATCACTACATCGAAAGCAATATTATATATAGGATATATCAACCTATATGGATCCCTTTAGGAGTTTCTACCTCAGATAAACCCAAGTAACAGAAGTACTGAACCATGAGGAAATCACGTAGTCGGGATTATCTAGATCGAAGTACTGAACCATGAGGAAATCACGTGGTCAGGATAATGTAGACCGAAGTACTGGTCCATGAGGAAATCACGTGGTCAGGATAATGTAGACCGAAGTACTGGTCCATGAGGAAACGACGTGGTCGGGGTAATATAGACCGAAGTACTGGTCTATGAGGAAATCACGTGGTCGGGGTAATGTAGACCGAAGTACTGGTCTATGAGGAAATCACGTGGTCGGGGTAATGTAGACCGAAGTACTGGTCCATGAGGAAATCACGTGGTCGGGGTAATGTAGACCGAAGTACTGGTCCATGAGGAAACGACGTGGTCGGGGTAATATAGACCGAAGTACTGGTCTATGAGGAAATCAGGTGGTCGGGGTAATGTAGACCGAAGTACTCAACCATTAGAAAAACACGTGGTCGGGATAATGTAGACCGAAGTACTGGTCCATGAGGAAATCACGTGGTCGGGGTAATGTAGACCGAAGTACTCAACCATTAGAAAAACACGTGGTCGGGATAATGTGAACGAAGTACTGAACCATGAGGAAATCACGTGGTCGGGGTAATGTAGACCGAAGTACTGGTCCATGAGGAAACGACGTGGTCGGGGTAATATAGACCGAAGTACTGGTCTATGAGGAAATCACGTGGTCGGGGTAATGTAGACCGAAGTACTCAACCATTAGAAAAACACGTGGTCGGGATAATGTGAACGAAGTACTGAACCATGAGGAAATCACGTGGTCGGGATAATGTAGACTGAAGTACTGGTCCATGAGGAAACGACGTGGTCGGGGTAATATAGACCGAAGTACTGGTCTATGAGGAAATCACGTGATCGGGGTAATGTGAACGAAGTACTGAACCATGAGGAAATCACGTGGTCAGGATAATGTAGACCGAAGTACTGGTCCATGAGGAAACGACGTGGTCGGGGTAATATAGACCGAAGTACTGGTCTATGAGGAAATCACGTGGTCGGGGTAATGTAGACCGAAGTACTCAACCATTAGAAAAACACGTGGTCGGGATAATGTGAACGAAGTACTGAACCATGAGGAAATCACGTGGTCGGGATAATGTAGACTGAAGTACTGGTCCATGAGGAAACGACGTGGTCGGGGTAATATAGACCGAAGTACTGGTCTATGAGGAAATCACGTGATCGGGGTAATGTGAACGAAGTACTGAACCATGAGGAAATCACGTGGTCAGGATAATGTAGACCGAAGTACTGGTCCATGAGGAAACGACGTGGTCGGGGTAATATAGACCGAAGTACTGGTCTATGAGGAAATCACGTGATCGGGGTAATGTGAACGAAGTACTGAACCATGAGGAAATCACGTGGTCGGAATAATGTAGACCGAAGTACTGGTCCATGAGGAAACGACGTGGTCGGGGTAATATAGACCGAAGTACTGGTCTATGAGGAAATCACGTGGTCGGGGTAATGTAGACCGAAGTACTCAACCATTAGAAAAACACGTGGTCGGGATAATGTAGACCGAAGTACTGGTCCATGAGGAAATCTTGTGGTCGGGATAGTGTAGACAGAAGTACAGAACCATGAGGAAATCACGTGGTTTGGATAGTGTAGAACGAAGTACTGAACCATGAGGAAATCTTGTGGTCGGGGTAATATAGACCGAAGTAACGGGTGATGGTAGATATAGTACAGGGTGACAATGGGTACATGCGAAGGTAACATAATGTACCTCATAACAACACGAACATACATCTGTATTAGAGGTACAGGACTATACCAAGTATATACATCCGTATTAGAGGTACAGGACTATACCAAGTACATACATCCGTATTAGAGGTACAGGACTATACCAAGTACATACATCCGTATTAGAGGTACAGGACTATACCAAGTACATACATCCGTATTAGAGGTACAGGACTATACCAAGTACATACATCCGTATTAGAGGTACAGGACTATACCAAGTACATACATCCGTATTAGAGGTACAGGACTATACCAAGTACATACATCCGTATTATAGGTACAGGACTATGCCAAGTATATACATCTATAATGTGTTACAGGGATACACCAGGTACACATATCTGTGTGAGGGTTCAGGGATACACCAGGTACACATATCCGTGTGAGAGTACAGGGATATACCAGGTTCACATATCCGTGTGAGGGTACAGGGATACACCAGGTACACATATCTGTGTGAGGGTACAGGGATACACCAGGTACACATATCCGTGTGAGGAAACAAGGATATACCAGGTACACATATCTGTGTGAGGGTACAGGGACATACCAGGTACACATATCCGTGTGAGGGCACAGGGATACACCAGGTACACATATCCGTGTGAGAGTACAGGGATACACCAGGTACACATATCTGTGTGAGGGTACAGGGATACACCAGGTACACATATCTGTGTGAGGGTACAGGGATACACCAGGTACACATATCTGTGTGAGGGTACAGGGATACACCAGGTACACATATCTGTGTGAGGGTACAGGGATACACCAGGTACACATATCTGTGTGAGGGTACAGGGATATACCAGGTACACATATCTGTGTGAGGATACAGGGATACACCAGGTACATACATGAGGTTGATTAGTCATTATTTTGAAAGCATTTGAAAACAAATTTCTTTTTTCTATATTGCCTCTTCAAAGTTATAAACGGGTTTTCAAATATATTATTCTAAGGCTGAGGTATAATTAGCAATTATTTGGATTGTTCGGATAACGAACATTGTGTTGTAAATCAACTTTATTTGATTTATGGGTTAAAACGTTCTGTTTTTAGGAATCCTGTTTTACAAATAGTATATGTATTTGTGACCTAGTAATTACATTTTTTTAAATGACCTCGAAACTTATAAGCCTGAGCACACTAGTGGTTGTGGTTGTACAATAGATGTAGTTCATACGTACTACACCTCGGCTGATTTTAGGTTTAAAGTTAATTTCGTCTTTTCACTGTTGATAAACACTGTCCAAAGCTTTATTCACTACTATCGTGTCAGCCATGAATTACCGGGATCTTTCGTGACTTCCATTCCGCTGTGTGAACTAATCAGGCCTACCGATCCCTGTTACTGTTTGTAATAAATGGATATCGTCCAGCTATTTCATCACACCACTCAACAACGTGTAACAAACAGACATGTCCTCCATTCAATCACCACTCTATATCACACTATTTAGATAGATATCCAGTAATTACATTTTCAACTGACAAATCAGATTTGATTTTGGAAGTGTAAATATCAATCACGCTATATGTATCTATATATGTTTACCAATGTGACTTTTAAACCTTCCAGTCTACCTATGACATCGGGAAGGGGGCACCTTGCCGATTAAGTGAGACATTAAACAGTTATAATAATAAACACCTTTCATATTTAAAGTTCACAACAAAAAGGCAATATAAAAAATAATCCAAGCAATCTGGTCAAAGTTTATCGAAAGTTCATCCAGGGTTGGAAGAAAGAAATAATGAAGATATTTTGTTCAAACAAACACACCATAATGTAAGATGAGGGTGTTTCTGTATGTAAGGTGAGGGTGCTTCTGTATGTAAGGTGAGAGTGTTTCTGTATGTAAGGTGAGGGTGTTTCTATATGTAAGGTGGGAGTGTTTCTGTATGTAAGGTGGGAGTGTTTCTGTATGTAAGGTGAGAGTGTTACTTTATGTAAGGTGAGAGTGTTTATGTATGTAAGTGAGAGTGTTTCTGTATGTAAGGTGGGAGTGTTTCTGTATGTAAGGTGCGAGTGTTTCTGTATGTATGGTGAGAGTGTTTCTGTATGTAAGTGAGGGTGTTTCTGTATGTAAGGTGAGGGTGTTTCTGTATGTAAGGTGAGAGTGTTTCTGTATGTAAGTGAGGGTGTTTCTGTATGTAATTGAGAGTGTTTCTGTATGTAAGTTCAGGGTGTTTCTGTATGTAAGGTGGGAGTGTTTCTGTATGTAAGGTGAGAGTGTTTCTGTATGTAAGTGAGGGTGTTTCTGTATGTAAGGTGAGAGTGTTTCTGTATGTAAGTGAGGGTGTTTCTGTATGTAAGTGAGGGTGTTTCTGTTTCTGTATGTAAGGTGAGAGTGTTTCTGTATGTAAGTGAGGGTGTTTCTGTATGTAAGGTGAGAGTTTTTCTGTATGTAAGGTGAGGAGTGTTTCTGTATGTAAGGTGAGAGTTTTTCTGTATGTAAGGTGAGGGTGTTTCTGTATGTAAGGAGAGTGTTTCTGTATGTAAGTGTTTCTGTATGTAAGTGAGGGTGTTTCTGTATGTAAGTGAGTAAGTGTTTCTGTATGTAAGGTGAGAGTGTTTCTGTATGTAAGTGAGGGTGTTTCTGTATGGGTGTTTCTGTATGTAAGGTGAGAGTGTTTCTGTATGTAAGTAAGTGAGGGTGTTTGTTTCTGTATGTAAGTGAGGGTGTTTCTGTATGTAAGGTGTTTCTGTAGAGTGTTTCTGTATGTAAGTGAGGGTGTTTCTGTATGTAAGTGAGAGTGTTTCTGTATGTAAGGTGAGAGTGTTTCTGTATGTAAGTGAGGGTGTTTCTGTATGTAAGGAGGGTGAGTAAGGTGTTTCTGTATGTAAGTGAGAGTGTTTCTGTATGTAAGTGAGGGTGTTTCTGTATG